GAACACGTTGCTGCTTCCTTCGGTCTCTCTGTTGAGGGTCTTGACTCAGCAGTTACATATAAAGCCGAAGAAGCAAAACAATTAGCCCTCAAGAGGCACCTTGAGGAAGACCAGCCAAATAGGGTTGTGTAATTCTCTCCTTTTGCCTTCTGCTCCCTTCAGAGGCAGGCTTGCTGCAGCAATGTATATTCTTATTGTGACTAGTGGATTGCCTTTGGTGCCTCGGGATGTGCGATGATGATGATGATGATGATGAGGAGGAGGAGTGGAGGGAGAGCTTGACGATGGGAGGGGGGGGGGCGGCAGGGGTATAGGCAGGACTAGATGGGGAAGACGCGGCAGGGTCATTCCGGGAACGGGGGGGGGACTAGTAGGAGGAGGAGGAGGGATAATGGCGGGCATGAGGAGGTGAATGAGGAAGATGAGGGGAAGGAGGAGGAGGAGTAGGCGAAAGAGGAAGAGGCAGAGGAAGAGGAAGAGGAATAGGATATATTGCCCCAGACCGACTTGTGGCGGCAGTGTAAGCTTGCGAGCTGGCAGTCTGCAGCAGTTGCGGTGCGATGATCGCGGCAGGTCACGGCTACGCTCACCCTCCTCCTCCTCCTCCTCCTCCTCCTCCTCCTCCTTCGAGCTTCGACCGAATGGCATTCGACCCGCACAAGACATGTTTCCCCGGTGGAGTTTGCCAAGGGGGGGAATGATCAAACCAGGTATCAGCACGAATAATGTGGGCGCGAACCAGCAGGCCCCCCAAGGGCGAGGCAGCTAAGTCCTTACGCACCCTTGTGGGGGGGGGGTTGGGGAGGAGGCACGTGAGATATTAATGGCGAGGAGGTGGGAAGTGGGACTACTGGGGGGCAGTGGTGCGGTTTGAGCGGTGGGCAGCAGTTGCGGTGCGGTGAGCGCGGCGGGTCAAGACCACCTCGCCGAAGGTGGGGCGGCGCAAAGGCGTCGTCTCCCCTCTAACCGTAGGACCTGCCCGTAGGATGGCGCCAGTCCAACAACATGGACCCTCACCTGCATACAGGCGTAGGGTCCCCTAGCGATGAACTGGTGGCCGCCATGGGGGTTCCACCTGGTGTGTGGGAGGTTTGCGCTTTCCGTGGCGGTGGCTATGTGGTCTGCTACCCCCTCATCCATTACTTTACCCTTCATCTGCTATTGCGTCAGCAACGCGTGGTGGGCAATAGCTGCGGCGAGGCTGCATTGTGAGGGGGTAGGGCAACGTGTGAGGTTTGCGATTGGTTCACCGCTGCATTGCAACACTGGTGGTGAAACGATAGTGGGCGGATGGGCTATGCCTGCAGCTGCGGTGGTGCCGGAAGCCGCCGTTGGCCTTCGTCAGCGACAGCCCGCAGCGCGACTCCCATCCGCCCGTCGCGCGACTGATCCTCCCCACCCGTTCCGCTGTCACCCGAGAGCGAAGGAGTGGGTTCTGTGGGTGAGGGGGGGTGAGCGGGGCCTGGAGGTGGAGGTGAAGTCAGAAGGGGAGAGACGGTCGAGCGAAGGCTCCCCGCGAACTTGTGGATAGTTGGCTCTTCGTGTTGTCGCCTCCGAGGCCCCAGCTCGTAACTGGTGATTAATGCCACCACAAGGGGGGTGCATGAGAGAGTTCTATACATTGGTCTGGTAGCATGTTGTTTCTTCCATTCGGCCAAGGCTCGCTGGTGCATTCAGAGTGCGTCGGATGATCAGCATAGGTGAATAAGGAAGCTACGGCCCTGTGTGATCATTGACCTACTGAATCTCATAGTCGGTTGTAGATGTAGCCGCCGCATGTGCATGTGGCACGTCGCATGAACATGGGTGAGAAGGCCACGGCGGTTTGAAGCCGCGTGTTACCGTGTTCACGTCTCCTGAGGTTGTTGCTGTCGCCGTTTGCTGGTGCTGCCGTCATCTGGGAGTAGGAGTGGACGTGTACTCTGTGCCGTGGGAAAGAAAGCTGCTGTTGCTGCTGTCGTAGCAGTGAGTTCGGCGGTTTGGGTAAAGGAACAGGCAGGAGTCGCGAGTCGGTACTGGGACAGCTGGAGGCGCGTTGCGTTGCCTGAACGAAATGGATAGGGATCCACGGTCGCTGGTAGCAGAATTGGAGTGTGGGTGGAGTCGTGACGCATTGACGGGCCTCTGTGCGGCAGGTGCCGTCTCGGCATGAGTTTGGCGTTTGTTTCTTAGCCGTTGGTTGTCGGGGGAGGAGGGGTTGTTGTCGGTAGAGGAGGGGTATGCTGTGCCGCTCTGACCTGGAGGGCAGAGCCACATTTTGGTGGGCGTCGTGTTGTCACCGATTACGCTGTCGGCGTGCTCGCTGCGGGGTTGGCCGCTCCAGAAGCGGTTCCCGTGGGCTTGGGTCTGGTGCGGCCGCTGGTTGTATTGGTCCTCGGCTCACCGTCAGTCCTTCTGTAGTCCATGTTGTTGTAGCCAGGAGTGCTCGTCCCCATTCTGGTTCTTGATGGCAGCCGAGTCGTAGCGCAGTGCTGGGTATCTCGCGTCGAGTAGAGATTTTGCTGATGGGCATTGGTTTGTCCGTTATCATGTGTGGTGGCGGATCGGTTGGGGAGCAGACTGGAGGATGGGAGTCGCGCCGCGGGCTGCCGCTTGCGAAGGTCAAGGCGACCGCAGGCACCACCGCAGCAGACACAGCCTTTCCGTCCACCATCGTTTCAACGCAAATGCCCAGCTGCCGCAGCCAAGAGGCCAGCCTTTCGTTTTTCTACCCTTCCAGCCTCTTCCCTTCCCTATGCGATCTCGCCACAACCCTTGCCCACCGCGCGCCACTGCCGCAATAGTGGACGGGGGGTGGGTAGGTGGTGGAAAACTGCACGGCCACTGTCTTGGAAAGCGCCAACCTGCCCCATTCCCGGTGGAACCCCCGTGGCGGCCACCAGTTCGTCGCTCGGCCACCAGTTCGTCGCTCGCTGTACGCAGGTGAGGGTCCATGTCATTGGACTGGCAACCTGCTAGAAGATTCCAGTGGGTAGCTTCCCACCTTCGGCGAGGTGGTCTTGACCCGCCGCGCTCACCGCATCGCAACTGCTGCCCACTGCTCAAGCCGCACCACTGCCCCCAGTAGTCCCACTTTCCACCTTCTTGCCATTCTTCTCTCGCGTGCCTCCTTTTCCGCCGCCCCCCCCCCCCAAGGGTGCTTTTAGCTACCTCGCCCCTGGCGGGTCTGCTGGTTCGCGCCCGCATTCTTCGTGCTGCTACCTGGTTTGATCACTCCCCCCCTTGGCAAACGCCCCTGGGGAAGCATTTCTTGTGCGGTTCGAATGCCATTCGGTCGGAGCTAGAAGGAGGAGGAGGACCCGTGTAACCCAAGAGTCATCAACGATATTTGAATACACCCTTCCTGCAAGCTCCCTCCTCATAGGCCCCTACAAGTATTCATTTCCACTGAGGGAATTGCCCAATTGGGGAACAACCGTGTGACAATACTGAAGCGTTCCGAAGCACCATTCTCAGAATTTCAACGCCACGAGTCAACCTGATTGCTGCGTCTTGGCAATCATGAACCGCGCCAAAACATCATTCCTGGATTACAGCAGTGCGAATCAACGAGATTGTTGCGCCATGAAAATCCTAAGCCGCTCCCAAACAACATTCCTGGTACGTTAACGGTGGGCACCAGTGACATTCCTGCAATTTGTTACAACGAATTGCGCGGCGCTAAAACGAGAGCCACATTTTGCAAGGGACTGCCCTAGATCCGTGAAGCACATGCAAATGTCTAAAAACAATCTGCGTGGCGCTAAGGCGAGAGCCACACTTGGACAAGGATCTGCCCTCAAATCGTCAAACGCCTTGCAAATATGTGAGACAAGTGTGCCCGGCGCTAAGGCGATACCCACAGTTTGAAAACGACCCCCCCCCCAGCCCGTGAAATTTTGAAGACGTTTAAAGAGGAATGCGCGCGGCGTTAAGGCGAGGACCAACTTTACAAAAACGATCTGCCTTCAATTCGTGAAGTGATTCCAATGTGTTAAACGAATGTGCACGGCGCTAAGGTTAGAGCCACCTTCTGAAAACGACCTGTTTTTAATCCGTGAAGCTCTTGCACGTGTTTGAAACACATGTGCGCGGCGCTGAGGTGAGAGCCACATTTTGGACGCGGCCCGCCTTCCATATTGGAAACTGTTGTCACTTGTTTAAGCTTGGGGTCTTTAAGTGGCAAGGGAGTCTCATGCGAAACGCATGGCCCGCTCTTCAGACTGGCCTCGGGGTGCGACGGGAAGGAGTTGTTCATGAGGAAAAGGAATGGGGGAGGAGGCGGATGACCAGGAAGAGCGGGGGCAAGAGGAGGAGGAAAAGGAGGAGGATGAGGATCATAATCATAATCCGAGTTGCAATTATAGGCGTACTATTTCTAGTCATCATACGAATCAAGGTAATAATACGAACAATGACAACCGTAATGCGAATGCGAATGAGAGTAATACTACTGACAAAAACAATCAGAATGCGAATGCTAATGCGAACAGTAATTCTACGACTAGCATTATTACCAATCACAATGACGCCAGTGGGGGGGAAGGGACGGGAAATGGTTGGCCCCGTTCTTTGCGGCCTGCACGTGCTGGAGTCACCTCACGCGTGTGCAGAACAATCGCCGGCGATATTCCAGGGCGGCGGAGGTCTGAATCTCGTGCCCGCTGCATTGGCCTTCACCACGGCGGCAAAGGGGAGGAGGAGGAGGGGGTGAATTCAGTGTGGACGTTGGATTCGGAGGAGGAAGCGGGGGAGGATGATGATGCGTAGGCGGAGGTGGAAAAGAAGGAGGGTGAGGATGGGTGAGACAGGGCTTCGATCTGGTCGGTACTGGGAGGAGGAGGAGGAGGAGGAGGAGGAGGAGGAGGAGGAGGAGGAGGAGCAGGAGCAGGAGCAGGAGGAGGAGGAGTGGGGCGACGATAACGAGGCGGAGAAGAAGGAAGGAGAGATGGACGCGGGGAGATTGTTGGGGCGGAACCATGAGCCGTTTTTTGCGTCTTGCCGTTGTCGCCTTGTGGAAGGCCGTGGCTGCGCCGAGGATGAAGAAGAGCAAGACGGGTGCTGCTCTCAGTCGGCGCCAGGAGGCTTTGAGCACCAATGGGCGACGACTGCGATCGCAGACGCGACAGCGAGCACGCAGATGACGAGCATGGTGATTAGTGGACCGGGCAACTGGAGGGTGGTGGGGAGAGAAGGACCAAGCTGAACCAAAGTAGGATCAGGACGTGGAGGAGGAGAAGGAGGACGAGGAGGGAGAGGAGGAGAAGATTTGGCACCGCTCGGACGTGTGTTCTTTTTGCTGGGCGAGGACCACCAAGGATAACTTCATCGAGGGAAATTTTGGATCATCGTGCGACTCACAGGCGCACGAAACCGGAAACCGCACGGGGAATGGACGCCCGAGCGATGGCGAGGAGGACGAGGGAGGGCAGGAAAGGGAGGAGGAGGTGGAGGAGGGGCAGGGAACCAGGAAAAGGAGGAGGCGGACGAGGGAGGGCAGGAAAAGGAGGAGGAGGTGGAGGAGGGGCAGGGAACCAGGGCAGGGCCCGTGGCCCATTTGGCCCAAGCCGCTCTCACGGCGCGCGAAAATCCCCGTCTCGGCTCGAGCCGGCGAGTCGAGCGCTCGCGGGTGTTCCCCTGGCATCGCTCGGACGTGTGCATTTTCCCTCGGCGAGTGCCCTCGAGGAGCATCCTTGATTTCGATGCTCGTTTCGGGGACCTTCCTGGAGCCCACCTAACAGATCTGTTCGACTCAAGTTCGACTCAAGTTCGGCTCAAATTCGACTCAGGTTCGACTCAGGTTCGACTCAGGTTCGACTCAGGGTCGACCCAACTCGACCGACATTCGACGCAGCTTCGACGCACGAGTGGGAGCGAGTGGCTCCAGGAAGGCCCCCAGAACGAGCAGCCAACTCGATCATTTGGCGACACGGCCGCGCGCGAAACCGAGAAAAGCACAGGGACTGGACGCCCGAGCGATGGTGAGTATTCAGGAGGGGAAAAAACACACAGACACAATTAATCGTCGATCCCCTGGAAAATATGGGAAAATATGGGAAGTGGTTGGGAAGACAGAAACCCAGAAAATATATGAAAATATGGGGAATCTTTTTATTTGTGTGTATTTATTTGTGTGTCCTGGGGCCCCTTCAGAGGGGCACGTCTCGGAACGGAGCTGCTTGCCTTGAGGGACCCCGCAGAGAAGGAGCCTTGCAGCAGGTCCGCGTCCAGCGAGAGGCCCTTTTTGTTGAGACGGCGCCGCCGTCCTCCGTGCATCCATCGGGCTTCCCAGATTCCCGAATTCCAACATCTTGCGGGCGTCTGCGAACTTCAGCCGTTGAGAGTGATGTCCTGTTCCTCCCCTCCTCGGGGGCCGGCTGGAAGCTCGATGTCTTCTCAACGACTTCTGCTTCCTGCTTCTAAGCGCTTCTTCCATCCGATGGGGAGTTGTTGCACCTGCGCGAGATCAACACGTGGAAAACGGCCCACCAGTCATCTTGGTTGCTGGTGGAACCTTGTACAACGGCCCTCCATTCATAACGCTGGTGGAAGTTTGAAGACGAGTATACGCGGCGCCATGGCGGCAGACACACATTGTACGAAACGCACAGCCTTCCATCCGTGCTTCTGCTTGGAGCTTGGAGCCTCGGGGTCGCAAATCGTCGGGACATCTCAGGTGAAACGCCCAGACTTCACTATCGATCAGTTAGTTATTTGCATGGATGATGGGGGTTGGGGCGGAGGCAGTGGAGGATCGATGCTTTAACGCTTTTGTGTTTGCTTGTAATCCCCTGGATTCCTCTAGAGACCTCCAGGGTCTTCCTGAGACCTTCGGAGGAAGAGGACGATGACGATGACGGCGACGACGACAACGAGGCTGGGACCTGGTAGGATCGGAGTCGCTGTCGATCCAGGCACAGAGTGATCAACTTGAGCAGTCGGGGAGAAGCACCCTGCCTCTATCCACCCTTCTCCCTCCTTTTTTTACTCCCCCGTCGTACGCTGCGACGCATCCCTGCTGAGGTGGTGTGTGGTGAGCGCTTGGGTATGGGCTCATCATCTTCTTTGCGGTGGTGCAAAGATCGGCTGCGCGCCCAAGGGGGAGTGCAGAGGGGGCGGGCCTTTTCAGGAGGCTTAGAAGAGCTCTGGCCTTGTGGGGAGCTTCCTAGACCTCCTCCGAAGACTCAGGGGACTTCTGAGCTCAGAAGGTCGGACGGCTTCCGAAGAGCCCTGCCGCTCTCTGAGAAGGCCTGCCCCCTCACTTCCCCTGTCAGCGCGTCGCCGATACGAGTAGAGGCAGAAACCTCCCTCCCATGCTTGCCGCGGGCGCTTGCACACCCATTTTGCTACTCTCAGGCGCCGCGGCTCACTGCAAGAGTTTGCCTATTGCAGGTCGGCTCGTGTGGTCTTCCCTGGTTGCCTGGCGGTTTTTGAATCGCATCGTGACGTCAGCCCTGAAGAATCGAGATCATGTGCTCGCAGGAAAAACTATGTTTGCCATGGGCCCTGCCGGTCTGTGCTGGCCAACGTACGCAACGAGTGGGGCGGCCGGCCCGGGGAGCACCGAGGCGAGGCCATCGTGCCGGCGGAGCGCCGCCCCACCTCGCCGCGGGAGGGAGGTTGGGCGGGGCGGCGGTCAGAGATAATGACGGAGGGGCAGGCATGCACCCTTCGTGGATGTCGTCGAGCGCGCTGAGGGCGCAGGGCACTTGCATGTTCCTCAAGATCGTCCGCACACAGTTGTGGTTATGAATGATCTCATTGTCACCATTATTATTTTTGTTATTATTGTACGTGTTATGAGTATTCCTCTTAGTCTCATCATTGCCATTCGTACTTATTATTATTAGTTGTATTTGTATACAGGGAGTTCAAAACACTAGACGGGCATGCCCGGCTTCAGTCTCGCGGGCCTACTCTAAAATCATATATTTAAACTTCCTTGTTTTGTTTCATGCCCTGCCGTCATCGCGCGAGTGATAGTTGACGGAGCATTTGGAGAAAGATTTGGCGGACGATCAGGCGGAAGATTTGGCGGACGATTTGGCGGAAGATCTCGCGGGAGATTTGGAGGATCAATTTGCCGGAAGATTTGGCGGAAGATTCGGCGGAAGATTTGGAGGAAGATTTGGCGCTAGATGTGGCGAAAAATCTGGCGGAATCTTTGAAGGATAAATCTGGCGGAAGACAGCGGAAGGTTTGGCGGAAGATTTGGAATATACTTTGGCGGAAGATGTCGCAGAAGATTTAGCGGAAGTTTTGGTGGAAGATTGGAGGAAGATTTGGCGGAAGATTTGGAGGAAGATTTGGAGGAGAACATTTGCGGAAAATTTGGCGGAAGCTCCGGCGGAAGATTTGGCGGAAGATTTGGCGAAAGAACAGGAAGAGGAGGTGTAGCAGGACGAGGAGGAGGACGGAGTGGAGAAGGAGGAGGAGGAGGAGGCGGTGGAAGAGCAGGAGCCCCCAGCTCTTCGTCCAGATCTTCCCCAAGCTTTCCCCCCAAATCTCCACCTAGCTTTTCCCCCAGATCTTCCTCCTCCTTTCTCCCTCCCTCCCTCCCTCCCTCCCTCCTCCTTCTCCTCCTCCTCCTCCTCCTCCTCCTCCCTCCTCCTCGTCCTCCTCCTCCTCTTTCTTCTCCCCCTATCCCCCTCCTTCTCCTCCTCCTCCTCATCCTTCTCCTCCCTCCTCATCCTCCGTAGCCATTTTGGCTCAAGATGCTTTGTTCCACAGGGGAACAAGTGGATACCGCTAGTCCGCGGCCAGTGCCAGGGCTCTTGAGCCCGACAGCTTTGTTCAACTCTCCGTGTGCCTCCTGCAGCCCGCAGGTGAGCTTCCTCTCGTCCCGCCTGACGACATGGGGAAGCCTGCGGCGGCGCGTGGCTATGTGTCTTGTCCTCATGACGGTTGTCGCTACAAGTGGAATTGGAAGCGGCACACGACATGCTGGCAGTGCGAAGGCCTTCTGCGTCCTGTCGGGGGTCAGCCTCCACCTCGTGATGCAGGGTCGTGGAGTCGCGGACCGCCCGCTCTACCTGGTGCAGCGCAGCCAGGACATCCACCAAACCCCTTCGTACGGCCGCCCCCAGGGCAGTGGGCTCCTACAGGGGCGGCAGCCACGGCGGCCACCCTCGGCGACGGCAGTGCCAACCCGTTCGCGCCTTCGACCGATCAGCTGTTCGAGGCCTTGCTACGTCGCGCCCCGCAGCATGGCGAGCGCTTGGCAGCGCTCAAGAAGGAGTTCGAGGACGCTCCGCCGCCAGCTGCCGCCGCCCCAGTCAAGCCCAGCCTCGAGCGTGAACGAGAGGCACAGCGGCTGGCAGTGGCTGCTCGCAAGGCCGATGAGTCCCTTGCGAAGGCGATCGCCCACGAACAGGAGTGCACCGAATGGTTGGCACGGGCTCGGGCTGCTGTGGAGCAGGCCGCGCAAGATGCAGCTGACGCCAGGCTGGCCCATGAGCAGCAACTGGAGCAGGACCTCCAGCGCCTCAAGAGTCGAGAAGGTGCTGCACGTGTTGCCGCTGCCGCCGACCCCAAGCCCAAGCTCAACCTGTCCAGCTTTCTCGACGAGGGCGACGAGCTCGGGCAATTGTTCGAGTTCGAGGACGGCGAGGCCTTCGACTTCGCCGATCTGGACCTGGCCAAGGAAGACATCGAGGCTTGGCAGAAGCACAAGATTTCGTTGGCACAGGAGATCAAGCAGGCGATCAGTGCGGCGATTGGCCCAGCAGCTGCTCAACTGGGTGCTCGCAGACAGCAGTTCAAGGAGTTCAAGGCTCGCATGGCCTCCGAGCGCCGACGCGTGGGAGCTCAAGGCGAGGCAGCTGCTGAAGGTAAAGATCGTGCTGAGGAGCAGCCTGCAGGTGGAGACCAGCCTGCTGCCCCTGCCGCAGGCGAAGGTCAGGCAGCACCTTCTGCTGGGCAGCGCGCCGCGGCCTCGGCAGCATCCACTGCCGCCGCTGCTACAGCAGCGCCTCCCTCGCAGCCCCAGGAGGCGGCGGCAGGTGAGGCGCCCCCGAAGGCGAAGGCGTCCCAGGAGCGAGTGCAGCGGGTTCTGGCAGAAGCAAAGGGGCAACCCGCCCTCGTCGGCGACCTTCGCTGACGCTGCTGTGGCACCACAAAAATGCGGGTAGCGCGATTCGTCTGTGCCCGAAGCCGAGGCAATCTCAGAATGCGGCACCAGAAGTTCGGCGATTGCTATTACACAATCTTTCCATGTGGGGACACAAGGCCACCACGCTTTTTGCAGAGAGTGATGTTGATATCATCATCATGCCCGAGACGCACGTGCTGGCTTGCGACACTCAGGGTATTTTGAGCACGCTGAAGCAGCACAAATGGCAAGGCATTGTTTCTCCAGCATACCCCACGACCTACGTGAAGAAGGCAGGTGGCATTGTTCTGGGTATCCGTCAACATCTCTGCTGGTCTTCTTTTCGCCACTTGCCGGACGACCCTGACAACGCGATCGGCTTAGTTGACGTCAGCAGCAAGCAGAAGTTATCGGGGCCCTTATCCTTCAAGGATGTGGTGGCGGTCGAGTGGAAGATCGCCAGAGTCCCGCTGCTAGTGATTGGTGCGTATTTGACTGTCTCAGTGGGGTTGGAAGCACCTATCAATGTCGCAAAGCTTCTCACTATTTCGGCGCTGTTGGACAATCATGCTGGGCCTTGGATCATCATGGGAGATTTCAACGCTACTCCTCTAGAGATGGCCACTTGGATTCGTAAGTGGAACGGACATTTTTACCACCCACCTGGCATCGCCCACACGTCCACGAGGGGCAAAGGGCAGCGGATTATCGACTATGCTGTGGCCTCTCAAGATTTTTCTACGCTTTTTCATGTTGCGATCCAGCTGGATGCTGAGGGTGGTGACCACTACGGCATGATTTTGGAGTTGAATGTTTCTGCACAACACTCTGCACGTCGAGTCCTGGACTTACCGAAGATGTTCCTGCCACCGCTGCCCACCAAGTTAAAGGCTGACCCCAACAGCAAACGGTCGAGAAAGAAATTGGATTTGGAGCGGCGACGGCAGCAGCGAGCTTTGGACCACCCGGAGGATCTCGAGCAAGAACTTCCTGAACCCGAGTCTGAAGACGAGGAATTCTTGGCGCAACCTCAGCAGGCCAGCGCGTGCGCGAAATACCCAGAGGAGGCTCGCAAGTTTCTACATCGAGATTTTTTCGACTTCGACTCCGAGGCGCTTCAGCAGATGTGGCAGTCGCATATTTATGACCACAAGGCTTCCGAGGTCAAGCCTGTAGCTCAGGACTGCCACCCAGCCAAGTATTTAGAGTGGATGGTTGAAGATCTGGATAAGCTTTGGACCACCATTGGCAACAACACTCTCCAGCACCGTGAGTGGTCCCTACCGCCAGATTGGATACAAGACAGCCTCTCGTATAAGCATGATCCCGAGACTGCCATCGAGCTGGGGTCAGACTACGGAAGATTTACGTCAGTTTTTGAGAATTTTCTGTGTCGTGTACTTGAGGTACCACCAGATCGAGCTTGGCATTACAAAGGTCGTGGAGTTGCGAGGGAATTTAAAACCTTACCGATTTCAACACCCGCGCCAACAAGAGCGCACTCAGATATGTCAATCAAGTGGTGGCTGCAGGTTTCTGGTTGGATTCAGGAGCTTATTCGAGTCTCTGCCAGTGGAACCCAGCAGCACGTCGAGGAGTTCTCTACTGCAGCAGGTGGTGACTCCTCCCCTCCTCCCCCCGTTTTGCTCAGCCCAGTTTCGAAACAACAAGTCAGGACAGCATCGAGAACAGACTTCTTGGTGCATAGGTTGGCACAGGCTCCTGCTGACATGCCACTTTCAGGTCTCGGCCAGGTAATTGGTAGAGATCGGCAGGACTGGGCCAGTACACTTCTTAACATTCACAATCTACCGAGAGAAGCTCGTATTATGATGGGAGCATCAGCGGACAAGATCGCAGCAGCTCTGGAGCGTAAGGCGGCCAAGGAGAGCTACGGCGCTTTTCAATCGTGGATTCGAGATTCTTTTGCTCAAGGCTGTGGGAAGTTGCATCGGTACACGAAGCCCAAGGCGCGTGTTGAGACAGAATACCGCGACCTGAAAGGAAGTTCCACGAGCCTCAAGGATATTTTGGTCCAGAAGAGTCAGCTTTGGCAACGCAAGTGGGCATCCAAAATTTTGTCAGTGCAAAGGCTTTTTCAACTCCTTCGACGGGCTCACGCTAAGGCAGCAGCACAACCTTGGCCAGCTCTGGAGCCTGAGCAGATCGCCATCACCGTCAAGCAGATCAACTCCAGCAAGGCCGCAGGCATCGAGCAGCTGGGCGGTACCCTTAAGTATTTACCTCCAGCTGGCATTGCTCACTTGACGGGGTTTTTGAATGAATGCGAACGACGAGGAGGCTGGCCTTGGCAGATTCAGACTGCTATTGTTGCTCTTTTGAGGAAAGGCGCTGACACTGATCGTTCAATTGGGCTGATCCCAGATTTGATACGCTTGTGGAGTTCAGCCAGACAGATTTTTCCTTCTGAATGGGTCGAGCAGATGGCTGGCAAGTGGGACAATGCTATCAGAGGTTCTTCTTGCTTGCGTGTTGGACTTTTACGAGCCTTCTCTGACGAAGCCGTCAGCATGGGCCCCAAGCACACCGTCTCGGCTAGTCTTCTGTGGGACATCGACAGCTTCTACGACTCGTTAGAGTACGAGCGCCTGTTCGAGCAGGGCTTGGCCCTGGATTTTCCGCCTTTGATGTTGCTGATGGAAGGGTTGGCTCATCTCATAGTTAGAGTGTTTCGTGAATCAGGGTGCTTTTCACCACCAGTCCAGGCCAACAAGTCCATCGTCGCAGGAGCTCGTAGAGGGGTCGATTTTGGAAGATTTTATCTCTACAGTATCCTGGAAGCTGTGCACAACAAATACTCACCGTCGGTCAGCACGTCGTCTTGGGTTGATGATATCACTCAGTATGCGTACGGGTCCGTCAGGTTCCTCTCCCAGGCGCTCACCAAGGCTGGGGTTCTCTTGGGCAGGCTCTGCAACAAGGCGCACTTGAGTATTGCAAGCAAGAGCAAGATCATCGCGGGGGACCCTGACTTAGCAAAGGACATTGCGCGCAAGTTGGCACAGCACAACATTAAGATCACTGTGGCACAGAAAGCAGTCGATCTTGGCACAGACAGAGGCACGAACATGCGAGCACGACCTAAAGCAGCAGCACGTCGCAAAGCAGCATGGAAGCAAGTAGGCCGAGCTCGAAAGCTTATTGGAGCAGGCAGAACAGGCAGAGCAGCAGCACGGTGCGTGATACATCGAGGATGCTATGCAAAAGTTCAGTATGATGCAGCTGTGTATGGTATGAGCCCTTCTGCAGTGCAGGCTTGGCGCAGAGCTATAGGAGGCACTTTCACTTTGTCGGTCCGTGGCCGGTGCCTCGACACTCTTTTACAGCTGGAGCTTGGAGATCAAGATCCAGCAATCTCGCAGGTATTTAAGATGCTCGACAGCTGGATGGCCATTCTTGCGTCAGGAGCTGAAGCACGAGCTTTTGCAGCACGAGATTGGTCGCAGCACGTGGCTAAGGCTAGAGAGATTCCTAAGCATCGATGGCGAAGAATCACAGGCCCCACCAGAGCTGTAGTAAACACCCTTCTGGACATCAACTGGGACCCCATTGGACCTTGGCATTGGGTTTCTGATCTTGGGAACGTCTATCAGGCTACTCCAGAGGTCCTTGAAGCAGGTCCACTAGATCTAGATGGTATCCGCCAAGACCTAGCCGATTCAGTTCGTCGGGTTCTTTGGAAGCGAGCAGCAAAACATTATGAGAGCGCTGATGTTGCTAACGGAGTAGACCTAACTGACGTACGACAGCAGCTACGACGAGCTAGAGATAAAGACCAGCTTAAATGGGCAGGAGCTTTAGTCAACGTGTGCTGTGGTGGTCAGTGGGCTAGGGAGAGAATTCAAAGCATCATCAACCCGCCTGACTTTTCTGTTATTTGTGATCGCTGTGATTGTGGGCGACCAGAGTCTACCTTCCACCGAATTTGGGAATGTTCCGCGAACGACGCCTTGCCCTCGACCACCAGCATCGAGGCATATGTGCACCGTGCTCGCACCCAGGTGGATTCACAGCCGTCAGTGTGGCTTCGAGGCCTCACTCCTTCGTCGTGGACACAAGTTTCGCAGCCGCCCGACGAGGCTGACATTTTTGTGCACAGCCACGGCTTCTTTCCCGACGGCACAGACCTGATCGTCGGCGCAGGTGATGCCTCGGGGGGTAAATACTCGGATCAGGCCAGATTCAGGAGAGTGTCTTGGGCTTATGTCGTCTTCGAGGAGTTCGATTTAGCAAACCCAGCTCCGTCCCTGGCCTTGTCAAGGGTGTCCTCGGGAGCCACTTGGGGACCCCAGACCATCAATCATGGCGAGATGATTGCGCTCTTGAGGTTCCTGGAGGAGGCCCCTGTGGGCCGACTACTTGTCTTCGTCACGGTCTCGTCTTATGTCCAGAAAAACGTCAATAAGGTGCTCTTGGATTTCTTCCCAACTGGATTTAGGAACGAGTGGCGTCGAATTCAGCGGCTTCTTCAAGAGAAGCCGACCGTCATCATCACGATCGAGTCGCACATGACTCCAGAGCAGGCTGCAGAGAAAAAGGAGCTTGTCTTTGCTTGGGTTGGGAACAAGGCAGCTGACGAGTTGGCCGAGCACACGGCCAAGAACATACAGCTGCAAGCGGGGGAGGTGGGGGCGGTCCAGATTTCTGAGGCCTTGACGCGTGCTGTGAGAATTCGTGCTTGTGAAGTTTTCCTCTCGAGATTTTCAGAGGCTTCTGGAGACAATCCCCAGGCCCCTAGAGCTCGCAAGAAAGCCAAAGCCAAGCCGAAACCAGCCGTCCCTCCTC